GATGAGAAATAATCCATTGGATGAGACTTTGAATACACAAATTAAATTTCTACAAAAACAATGTCAATGTTAATGATTCAGGAATTAGAAACTCAATTGAAATTCACGAAACAGAAATATTTTGAATTTGCAAATAAACCAGGTAGATGGCTAGTTTACAAATTGTGTAAACAAAGACAGAAAATATTAATTTCTAAAATACAACACGATGGGAAGACTTCAATGGACAATGCAGGCATTCAAGAGGCCTTTTTCTGTTACTACTCATCAATACAGATGATGACACAGAACATCATAAAAGATGCCACAAACAATTGGGAACAATGATGCTCAACCTCAGTTCTGCATGGCTGTGTCCTGTCCAATCCACAAGTTTGCAGAGTAATGATTCCCACAACAGGAATATAATTTTCAATTTAGCAGATAGTGTTTCTTCCATATGAGCTGTTCCTTATTTCATTTACCTTGAAAAGGTGGTAGGTTGGGGCCCATTCTGAGAAGACAACTATAAAAACAAACCAGGAGCAAAAGATTTGGGGATTAAGGAAATAAAGATAGGCAAGGGGAAGGCAAGGCAGTCTGGGTGGCAACTGAACAGAATTTTTTTGCCAACTCCAAGGGACCAAATTGGAATCCCAGTTGACCTGTGGTTAAGTTATGAATTTTGTACAAGCATTCATATCTAATTGCATTCTTAGAATCTTGGTCTATTACTTTTACGGGGTACAACAGGTAGTGAAAATTGTGTTTCTTTGTGTGGAAATTCAGCCCAATTTTCTTAACGTAGAAAGGACAACATGGTCTTGAATACATCTTTCCTTTTCTTTGTTTCTCTAGACTTACTACTTAAGAATAATGAGGTCCAACATTTTCTTTTTTGTGGCATTCATAGTAGCTCAGCACATTGTTTAGTGATACCCATACACTGTGTTCAGTGATCTGCACATCAGCTCCCCAACTACATTTTCTGCTAAAGGCCTGCCTTATTTTAACCCTTGTTTCTGAGTTCTACTCCATCTTAATTTCAAATGAGATTTGAAATAAATATATACATTCATAGTCTCTTAGCAAAGAATGACCAGATAGAGAAACTTTCCAGCTCTTGTTGTTGGTAGCTGTCAGCCAGAGCTAGAGCTCTACACAAGATCTAAACCTTTAGTCAAAATTGTGAAGGCAGCATCTCATTGTAAGCTGTGCCATTTTCATTTGTGTATGCTATGTCACAATATTGTACAAAAGATTGGTTCCTGTAGCCATCTTGGGGAATTAAAAAAAAGAAAAGAAGAAGTTAGCCTTCAATATCTAAGGCCATTTATTCTACTTCTGCTTTAGGTATACAACTCCCTTCCAGATATAATAGAATACCTCCCAGGACCACATAAAACAGCTTTTGCTGAATCAGAAAAATTATGCCCTTTCATCAAGAAGATGGTGAAGTCCCATCAGCAGACACTGGATCCTCAGGACCCCTGTGACTTTCTGGACTGCTTCTCATCAAGTGAGAGAAGGTAGGACAGCCTAAATCTTCCTTGTACAACATCCTAAATGCTAGGGGTATTTCAGACTGTAGCCAAAAAATAAATAAAATAAAAAATAAAAAGCTCTCCACCTCTTATTACTCTTGGAGATACATTATTATTCCATACATAGATTTTTCATGCAGTTCTATAGGTGACTATAAATGATAGGTATAATGCTTTCCACCCAGCAATTTACAGAAGACATCCTTATTTGGGTTTATTTGGACAAATATTGTAATAAATTGAACCTCACTCACAATTTTATAGTAGATAAGAGGGCAGACCTGGTTAGAATTATGAAGATCTGGGTGGGAAACGAAGACGTCTGCCCCTCTCAAAAATATGTCCGTGTGGATTTCATATCAGTCAAGGGCCGGGGAAGGGGAGATGGTATGGAAATTGGCATCTGGGAGACCCTGATGATGTCTAGAGTTTATCTGCAGATAACAGGATATGAGCCCTTATTTGTGAAGTCAAACAACATATCAGTTTCAGTAAAAAAGCAACTGGAATATTATTAGGAACAAATTAAGGAGGCTTGATTTTTCCTTCCTTAAGGAGTATTTTCCCCTCTCCCTTTTTGTTTTCTTTAAATACAGGAAAAACATTATCCTGATGATATCTACACCATTGGAGAACTTGTCATGACTGTGCGTGGACTCTTTCTTGTTGGATCA